TGCGCTTCATGGAGAGGAAAACCTCCCATGGTTAACCTGACGGCAAGGGGACTCTAGCACATTTACCACTGTTCATATTTTTAAGTCAGCACTGTGGTTGGTGCGAGCTGGGTGCGGAATTCGTATCGACCAGCCATCGATGGGATTCGAATCCGTTTCACCTCATTTGAAGGCGAGTGGTCTATTCCCTTAAACACTACGGCTCAGTTGTTAATAATAATTAGAAAACAAAGGAAAGCAATGCTTATAACCGAAGTAGAAAATAGTATTCATTAAATGTAGGATATACAGAATTTTGTTACCCGCATCATATCATAATTTATATCATTGATGATAGTTACGCCTGTGCAAACTATATAGACTAAAAAAAAATAAAAAATTTTGAAAATATTTTATAAATATTCTTTCAGCATAAGTATATGTTTTTAGAAATTTTGACACCTATCCTTTGACTTGATATTAATAACAAAGTTCTTTTTTGAACCGAAAAATTATAAAAAAAATCATTGAAATGTCCGCCAAATGACCCCCTGAAAAGCAGCTATTAATAATAATTAGAAAACAGAGAGAATTCTAAGAGACCGCCTGTAACCAAAATAGACAATAGTATACTTCAAATCTAAGCTACACAGAATTTTCTTTAACACACCTCATATCATATTTGCATCGTTATGAATTTTAGCGACATCTGTGTTCCCTATATAGAGGTCAATGACAAAGTAAAATTTTTTTTAAAAATGTTATATAAATATTTTTTTTGCATGTGCATATGTTTTTAGAAATTTTGGCACCTATCTTTTGACTTGATATTAATATCAAAGCCCTATTTTGAAATTGCTGCAATATCTCGAAATAATGAAATAAGTTGAGTTAAATCTACTTATTTTTTCTGATTTGAAATTGATCTTGTAATAAAAAGTAGCTAAGTAAATGGTAACATCTCATAACACTTATAACAACAGTAAATGTATTTCAATACTTTTATATGATTTGAAAGATTCCTTTTGAATCCAAGAAAGTTTTCATTTTGATTCCAAGAAAGTTTTCATTGTCTATAATTTTTTTTATAAAAATTTGTTTTCACATATCAGTTCTTAAGAGATGAAATGCACCTCTCAGTGAAAAATTTAAGACAAACATTTTTGTTTCAGAGAATTTGAATTTGAATAAGAACAAAATGCGTTAATAAATTTTTTGGTATACCTTAGTTTAAACGAAGTTTAGAACTGTTTCGACAGTAAAAATATGAGAAATATTTTTTGCAACAGAACAAACTAGTTTCTTGTCATATATTTCGTTGATAACAATTAAATTATGGTCTAACAAAACTGGTTTTTCTAAATTTTTTACAATAAAGTCTGAAATTGTGTCGACTAAACAGTAAGTGCTTTAAAATTAAATTTAAAATATTTAGCTCATTAAAGAATGTTTAAAATTTCTTTTAAATTTTGCAAATCAAGTTGCTAAGGGAACTTTATTATCATTTCCAAAAAATTAAGGATATTTCATTCTTTCGAGAGGCCCCGAATTCAAGCGCCCTCCTGGGTCCCCCATCTGTCAGTCCGACCCTACCGTGACCTCCAACCCTGGCAAACGCATTCGGTGTGTGAATTCTCTTTTAAACATCTTTATGAATAAACACCAACTCCATCGATGTGCATTCACTTAACCGTGACTTTGAGACAGCGCTTTGTTAGCATGTTTATAGAAAGCTTTTAGCTATGACTTCAGTTACATTTTTAGTTGTCGTTTACTTTCAAATTTATTTTTGCATCACTTTTAATACTTATTCCTACCTTGCCATTAGAAATAAAATCAATAAATAAACGTCTCAAACTTACGACATCTCTGTGCTATTGCTTATACAGATTTCAGCAATAATCAAACTTTAAGGTAAGTTATTTCATGGTCTAATGGTGATTACCGTAAAATAATGCACTTGAAGTAAAGAAAATTATTCTTGAAAAAATGTCTCAAAATTAAGACTTGAAAATAAATGGGTAAAATAATTGTGTCAGCGCAGACACCTTTTTAGTGAAATGAACATGTCAGCGAAGTGATCGTGCCGAAGATGTGATATTGTAAGATTTATTGAAGTAGTGATCGTATCGAAATGAGCTGTCAGCGAAGTGACCATCGGCATGTATTTCATACCAGACGCTAATAATAAGCATGTGCCAATGTCTTTGACTTATGAATCGATAACCGTATGAAGCTAAGTACAGGGAGCGATAAGGGTTAAAATTCATTGTAAGAATTTCGGGCTACTACATCCGATTTATTTTTACGCATGAGCTTGAAAAAGAGCACGATAAAATTTTGTTACGCTAATGGTGTTTACAATTGGCGATCCTAATGGGCTACAGGTGGTGTAGAAAGTTGTTGTTGTAGTTCATTTACGTCGCACTAGAGCTGCACAATGGGCTATTGGCGACGGTCTGGGAAACATCACTGAGGATGATCCGAAGACATGCCATCACAATTTTGATCCTCTGCAGAGGGGATGGCACCCCCGCTTCGGTGGCCCGACGACCTGCAAGCGAAGTCGAGCACTTTACGGTAGAACAGTTTAACGAGGACCAATACCGCACACCCTCGGTCCCTACGCTGACTGATCCAAGTGGTCAACCACCCGCAGACTGACCGCAGCCAGTGATGCTTGACTTCGGTGATCTGCTGGGAACCGTGTCTTGACGATCAGTCCACTGCGGGACACGGGTGGTGTAGAGCAGAACTCTCTATCCATGGCAACATTTCGCATTCTTTCACTATTAGCGTGGAGAGAGTCATCGGTGAAGTAAGTACGTTAGTTTCTGTCTTGATATTCAAATAGATTAAAAACTTTTAAGTTAGGAAACTATATGGAACTGAAAACTACATTGAACATAGTACTAAAAGAAAACGTAGTGGAAATTTAAAAAAAATCTATTTTTGACAGTTGAATACCAAAAATATGAAGAAAGGGGAAAATATCGTGGTACATTAGAAACTGAGAAGAGGAGCAGAGGGAAGGGGGTCAAGACATGGAACCTGTCTTCTCCCCAGATAGCGTATTCGAGGGTTGAAATCTCGATTATAACGCGTTTTTTCAATTTAACTTTCAACTCCGCACGCATAATACAATACTACATGCCAAGAATATTACAATGTAGCACAAAATTCTCCACTGGGTGTCTACTCGCCGTCAATCTTAACATCCACCATGATCCACGTCGTTGCGATATCGACATACATTTGACGACCATACAAAATCCAGGGAAGTTATACTGGAAATCCACCATACGTCTGATAGATGACTACCAAATTATCTAATCGTAGATATCTAATAGACAAAGAGGCGCATGCACATTTTGAAACATCTGTGATCTACCACATTAGACTTAGCGAATGAATATCCTGATTAGAATATCCTAGAATAAGCAGCATCCTAGAATATCAAGCTTACTATGGTATCCTTGAATATCATGCGTGTTCACACATCACCTCCTAAACAACATAAGCAGCGGGGTACACCAGAAGTTTTCTACATTTCTTTCGGTTTCTGGAAGCTTGTTATTGTTCACATTCAGCTACCCATACATTAGGAGTTTAGCTAAAGTACAATATCTTTTTCCTAAATTCACTTTACGGACGAATTCTGCGTTCATCAATGGTTATGAAATATAATTTATTGGCAATCAAAATGGGCTACAGGTGGCATAGAGAAGAACTCTCTCCCTATCGCAGCACTTCGCATACTTTCACCATTAGCATGTGGAGAGTCATAGAAGAAGGAAGTACGTTAGTTTCTGTCTTGATTTTTAAATAGATAAAAATCTTATAAGTCAGAAAACTATATGGAACTGAAAACCACATTAAGCATAGTTCTAAAAGAAAGCGTCATAGAAATTTTGAAACGTATTTTTTAAGAATTAAATACGAAAAATGTTAAGAAAAGGAAAAATATCGAAGCACATTCCTATACAACTGAAAAGAGGAGGAGAGGGAAGGAAGAAGCGTCAAAGACATGGAACTGATCTTCTTCCCAGATGAGGAATTTGAGCTTAAATTAAATGCATATAAATAGTTCCTAAATAAAAATCCAGAATATCATCAGTGTTATTTTCCCTTCGACGTCCTTTGAGGGCTCGTTTCCTCCCCGTCCTTTCAGGGTCATTCCCACAGCATATGGTCCCGCAGTGGACTGACCGTAAAGACAGGGCTCCCAGTAGAACACCGAAGAGAAGCATCACTGGCTGCGGTCAGTAAGCGGGTGGGTGACCACTTTGATCAGTCTTCGTAGGGACGGAGGGTGAGTCGTATCGGCCCTCGTTAAACTGTTCTACTGTAAAGTGATCGACTTAGTGAAGGTTGTCGAGATACCAAAGCAGGGAAGCCATCCCCTCTGCAGAGGATCATCCTCAAGGATGTTTCCCAGACCGTAGCCAATAGACCATTGAGCAACTCTTGTGAGACGTAAATAAAGTATCTACCTACCCACAACATATGAAGAGAAAAAAATCGTGCATGCGATTGCAGAGATGCGTGCAAGAGCTTGTTTGGTGATTTCGCGGGTAAATATATTTCACCACTCTGGTTCTCATTCACCCTTTTACTTTAAAGTTCATGTCGATAACTTCTCATGTTGACTTTACTGTGAAACAGTTTAACGAGGATTAATGCTACACACCCTTGATCCCATTGCAGTTTGATCAAAGTGGTTGACACCGACGATCACCCGCTTGCAATTTTTCTCATGCGGAAGAATTGCGTTCAGCGAGAATGACTCTTAAAATATTCCAATGGAATTTTAATGAAATTTAATGACAAAAATATGGCATCACAATATTTTCTTTGGTTCTGCTTTGAAAAATACTTGGCAAACAATGATATAAGACGGCATTCCCAAAAGAGCAGAAAATCAGGGTCATGAATCGTGGTTGCCGGGAGAAAAGTGTTGCACCAAGCAGACTCCTCAATTCTGCTTTTAACATGTAAAGTCTATGGCGGGCNCAGCTCAATATAATTAGCAGTTCTAGCTCCGATTATTAAAACTAAGTTACTTTAATTAATTCCATTAATTCCACACACATTAATAAAAATTTATATTCTTCTTGGTGTTTTAATTTGAAACGAATTAATTGTAAGATATAAGTAATCCCCATTATCTTGTAAACACCTATTTACATACAAATAAATAGTTAGAATGTCTATTCTGGATATTTCACAACGAAACTAAGAATGGGTTTAAAAATAAAAGACCGCGTACCCAGAATCACTTTTCGAAACTAATGCTTATATTGTTCAGTTTTGCTAAGGAAGGATGGGATAGTTTAACTGACCCTCTATCATATATCACTGTCACTGTACCAATTCACTCCTCCCTCAAAGCGACGCCCCCAAAGGGTGACTATTACAACTCTGATTTTGCCAATTCCGGTTTTTTATCTGGGTATCGCGTCCTCTTAAATGTGCTACTAAATTAGTGCAAGCATTATTTTAAGTTATGAAATAAATTTAAAAAAATCTTTTCTCTGAATAAACTGCCTTTTCCCCCCTTCGGATTTCTGACCAACAAAATATAAGGAACAACATTTTCCTGGCATTCAAGAATAATTTATAAGAATTCTACAGCTTTTTCTACCTCTGCTTTCACTTTTGGTTCATCAATATGATCTTCAGCTTCTTCCTCTTCATCTAATATTCCTTTGACATTATCTATGATTTTCGCATCTGCCAGTGTTCCGCATGTTGCCAGGCAGTTGTCCACTTGTAAAAAATCTTCAAAAATAATGTTATTATTATATCCAGATTTTATTGCATTCCCTTTTGGCAAGTCTGGCACTGCATTTTAAGTGTCAAAGGTTTCTTCTTTATTGGTGCATTCAACCTCTTGTTCATCATATTCACAGCTATTCTTAAAATCTACTTTTTAAAACCATTTTGGATAGTTTTTAGAGACAAATTTCTCCAGCCAAAACAGTAATTCTGATAGCATCTATTATGCATTTGGAAGCTTTTTTTATCTATGGCATCTACAAGTCAACTCCTCACTTGCCAGAATCATTGTATTCCTTTCTAGTTAAGAAAGTGCGGGGATGATGATTGAAATTACAAGAAACACCCCCCAACCTATTCGTCCCTACTTCCTGTGGGAACCTACTTCCCGAAATTCGTCCCCTACGTCCTACTTCCCGAAATTCATATGTCTACTAGTTCTACTGATAAAGTTGTGACATATTCGAAATTAGCCTTATTTGAAATCGTTAAATTAATTTTATGATTTTCATTAAAACTATTTTTTAAAATTAAATTGTAATAATGGTAGGTAGCCAAACAATATTTTGGGGGGATTTGCTCCTTCCTATTGTTAACATTTAATTTGTAAGAATTTGTAATCTTTGAACTTATAGATTAAAATAATTCTAATCTTGCTATATGGTTGGAAAAATTTGGTTCGTTTTTAATACACACTACCTCAAGATATAAAAGTATAATGAAATTGTTATTTTTTTAATCTTCATGTATATTTAGGGATAAGATGGGTTCCGATTTCCAGTTTAAAAAACTCTTCCTTTGTATTTCAAGGTGGTTTTTTGTTTAAACTGTAAGATTGAGTGGGGACTTGATTTTTATGTACGTTGCATTTCCTCAGGCTCACAAATTCATCCAAGTGTTTTTTTAGAATTTATTCTAACTTTTTCTTTATTTTCATATTGTATTACAGCTCTAATTATTTTTTGCAGCTAAACTTGTACCCCTTGCTTATGGTATCAAGAAATTGCAAATTGTCTGTGTTGTAGAGGATGATAAGGTTAGTAATTTTTCATTTTTATTATTTGGATTATTTCTTCATAAATAATAAAATAAGATAAAAAATTACAACCATATATAGGCAAACCTAAAAAAAAATATTTTCAAATTATATCATTGATTTTTTTAAAAAGAAAATAAAATGATCAAAATCAAGCTGAACCAGAACTGTACGGCATAGTGTGCTGAATATCAGTTTCCATCAAAGTTGCCTTATATTTAGAGGCGTTAATTTTTATGTAAATCGGTTATGCTGTGTTTTAAAACTGGAAGTAAGGTAAAGCACAGAATTTTGCTAGTTCGCTGACTTCCACAAATTAAAATTTATATTCCAATAATACTTTTGAAGAGTTCTGCAAATTTAAAATTTTATATTTAAAACTTCCACAAAATTCTGTTAATGAGAAGTATTTTTCTCCCCTTTACCATTATCCTTTTTTTTCTCCTAAGTTCTCATTTAAGCCCTTGAGTTTTTTTTTTTTTTTTGTATGGATTAGTAAGAAATTGTAAAAAAGGAACAAAAACAAATGTGTATAATTGATACAATTGAAAGTCTTCTATGTGGAATCGTCGAAGTTTCGACGAGTCAGGAAAATATATTTTGTCAGATAATTTTTTCTTTTTGCCTTAAGGAGTCTGTAACAGAGTTAAGCATATACATTAAAAAATAAGCCTCGAAAATTTATAAGATTTTTTAATAAAAATATCTAATTTAATGCACTTGGAAATCAAAAGTTATCAAAGCACAAATGATGTACTTGGAAATCAAAAGTTTTTAAAGCACAAATTATGTACTTGGAAATCAAAAGTTATCAAAGCACAAATTATGTACTTGGAAATCAAAAGTTATCAAAGCAGAAAAGTTATAAAGTCTGAAAAATTATCAAAGCACTTGGAAGGAAAAAAGGGGGTTGTAAAATGATGACAAGTAGAAGGCAGCATCAAGTGCAAAATCATTCATTTCTGTGATAAAATAAATAGTCAAAGTTAAGTATTACTTTTTCCCCAAAGTAAGTACTTATAGTCATTGTTATGCTCACTAATGTTAAAAACTGTTTAGAATGAAAATTTGATAATGTTGGTGTTTGGTTTTCAAATTACTAATATGTCTAGGCAATGTAAAGTGACAAGAAGGTAGTGGTATGATGGTTGGGGGAAGGCTGGTCAAAAATATTTGGGGGGAAGCAGCATATTTTAAGTAAACGTACTATTCTTGACTTCTCGTAAAATGTACATATTGTTTAAAAATGAAAAAAAAAAAAAAAAATAATCTTTCTCGCGTATGCTGTTATCTAGTTGACATCAAATTTCAATTTTGAAGCTTTTCTCACTATGTAATTTCCAAAGTGCATTGAAATATGGAAACTCTTTTCATTATTTTTTTTCTTTTACAGGTCAGCATAGATTGGCTTCAAGAGGAAATTCAAAACTTTGAAGATTTTGTTCAATCTGTTGATGTTGCAGCTTTCCAAAAGATTTAGGATAACAATAAATTTTTCTAGTGCATTATTTGTTGTTGTTATTTTGAAGATGCATGCTCTATTAATAATCTTACTGTTTTATTCAAGGGGGTGTCTTTGTACCTTGAATGCCAGAAGGGATATTTAATATTTTAATTTGCTTATCAGACTATTTTTAAATATCTTGTATGATAAAACAGTTAACCCATTTACAACTAACAAAATGTAATGTTCTGCTTAGTACAGTGTTATAATGGTATTCTATTGTACTCCTTTAGCTTATGCATTTTCACTTTTTACACATGGGAATAAAAATACAACACACATTGTAAATTAAAAATTGAGGGTGTTTGAGTACAAAATTATCGTATCGAATAATGTGAGAAATCTTGTTCTGAATTGCTACATATTTTTAACATATTATATATTTTAATCAGAATTTTATCATTTCTTAGAGTATAAAAATACAGATACTGGTGAGCATAAGTAAAATATTGTGGAGGATAATGCACAGTGCCATACAGTGAAGAGAATCTTCCAGTTTTTAAAGTTTTTAAGAACTTTAGAAATGAATTTTAGAACTTTAAATGTCTTAGGTCATGTGAATTTTCATACTAAAAATTTTAAAGCTTTGAGAGGTTTAAGGGACTGTCAGTAAATTATGAATAAGAGTATTTTGCTACACTGTAGGAAAATATCGTTGTAAATTCTAAAAAAATCTGATTTGAATTTCTTAAAAAATAAGAAGTTGCTAGCAATTTTCTGAGTAATTGATCTTTGTAAATTTTGAAAGAGCTCTGAATGGTAAGGGGATTTCCACAACTTTTATTTTGTACCATAAGGCAAAATTTAATAAATGAGGAAAGAAAACTTACTTTTACAAAAGTACAAAAACTTCTTAGAAAATTGTTTGAAACTTATTAAATTTTCAAGGTATACAAATCTTTTTTCCTTAGTTATTGAACATTCACTACAAAATTAATATAGTTTTTTTTTACAAAAGTGCTCATATCTCCATAAGTTAAGTCAGGTTTGTGGAATTATGTGCTGCTATTCCGTGTGACAACCAAAGGACTAGGCTAATTGACTACATTCAATGATAAAAGGCTGGTAAATTCTGAAGAAAATTTTATATTTAATTGGGATACGGAGAACAGGTGGTGGATTGATAGTTAAATTAGACTCTGTACAATTGAAGAAAAATTATCATTCTATTATCTAGTTTAGATTTCACTTTACAGAGATAAACTGGAGATTCACTAATATCACTTTTCATTCAGTTTTATAGGAGTTGAATCTTGTATTAGAAACCCTTCATGTCAAATCCTCTCATCTAAGTAAGGAATTGTGAAGTTTCTAATGCTGGAAAAAAATTTTGAAACGTTGATATTAATGGTTGGCCTGCTTAAGATAAAGCAGTGGGGAAGTTATATTGTGCAAATAAAGTGTTTCATTTGAAAATTCGTGGTTTTTTAATTGTGCACGGATTAGTATAATTTAGCAGCAAATTAAAATATAGTGCAATCCAGCTAAGACTCTTCAATCACCGATGAATTATAGCTTAGATGAAATGTGATTATTTCAATAATAGTATCTATCCTATCAGTCTTACAAGAAAAAAAAAACTTTTGGACCCATCCAAATTTTAGGACCTGTATTTGTAACTTCAAGAACAACTTAAATTTAAACAATCTCATCTATTATATGCAGAGGATTTAGTTATTTGGTCATCAGGTATTCATAAGAGAAATAACGTCTTTATTAAGAGATTAAATAAAGCTCTAAAGAAACTTTCAGTATGGTGTGATGGAAATTAACATAGAAAAAACATGTCAGACATTTACATTGAATCATCAAGACTCTTGGAGCGCCTGCACACTCCAGCGAATGATATACGTATCGTGCTGCTGCCTGCTTAAAATTAAAACATATATATTTACATGCCTACATTTTGAACCTATATTCTATTGCATGATGCCTACCTAGTGTACTCCCATTAATTTAGGTCTAGAACCAGTAATTTATTAAATGAGTGAAAATGACGTATAATTGAACCTTTTCCATGAAAGAACTGAAAAAATACGTATTTCTAGAGATAAATGAAATTTTATAAAATGAATTAAAATAGTTATAAACTAATTAGACTTTGAATTCGTGCTACAATATTCAAATCATTTAGGTGAAAAAATCTGTTGGTCACGTAAGAAAATACGATTTAATAAAACGGTTTAACCATCGCTCCTGATTAAAAAATTTGAGTTCCTCGAAAAGGGATTATTTTAGTGCATATTTCAATATATCTGAAAAGTTCGTTTCCAAGTGTTTCAAATTGCTCTGATTTATTGCAGGACGAAATTTTCGTTAGTTAAGACCGTGTGCTGTGAAATAACTTAATGGTTTACTAGATGGCAGCACTAGAGATTTTATGGTTCATGTTATAATAAGTACTAAAAGTTTATTTTCGACAAAGAAATAAATATAGACTTTTAAACTTGAAACAATTAAAAAAGTATTCCCATTATTTAAATCATTGGGATATTTTGGGGTGCTTTTATCGAAAAGAATAATTTCGCATGTAGGAATCAAGTCTAAAGACAAAACCATACCTTTAAAATTTACTACAGCTTTAAACGATACAAAAATAACTCAATTTTTTCGAATTAATCAAGATGATTAGAAAATATTGAATTTATATTCTATTTTATTGCAAAATAATTTTCCGATTATTAATAATATATTAATAAAAATAATTATATTCTAAGTAACGTAAATATTTATATATAGAAAATCTTTTTCTTTCATTTACAACAAGCGATTTAGTAAATTTACAAGTTTTTACTTATAAATTATATAAAATTTACATCAATCAGGTAACCTATAAATATTAAGAAAAAGTTTGTTACAAGTATATAGTTATATATTAGTTATAAGTATATTTTAGAGATGTTAGTTCACTCTAATTTTGGGATAAGCAGCAGTTTATAAAAAATATGGAGGCGCCGGGTATCGATCCCGGTACCTCTCGCATGCTAAGCGAGCGCTCTACCATCTGAGCTACGCCCCCTTCGAACACAGATGATTATTATAAAATCATATACAAACATCATAGTAATAAGTGTATCGATATTTTGGCCTAATTATGGTGGTTAAGATTTTGGACTATTCTTAAAAAGTCAACATACTTTCACAGTCTCCTTCCAAAGCACTCTGTCACTTTTGAAAGAAAGAAAGTGTTATGTATTTAAGCAACAGTATTCAAAAAACTTTTTTTCTCAATGTTTAAATTTTTTTACAAATATTAAAAGAAAAAACAAATATTTGTATTTTTTTACTATTAAATTCTAAAAGGAATGCTTTGTAATTTCCATTCTTCCCATTTCGGGAAAGAGTGAGAATATAAGTGACTTAAATAAATCCCCCCTTCTAACAAACCCGCTTTCAAAATCACAAAATGAAAAAAATAAAGAAATAAATAGAAGAGTAACAACATGATTAATTTGTCCCAGTAATTTAAAATACTAATTTAACTAAATTTAATTTTATTTTACTACCCCGAAAAAAACCTGTAAATTTGATAAAAGTAGTGTAAATCCATTTTTTTTTCTAATCACACACCTTTACTAGTTTTAATTTTAAGTTAAAACAAGTCGTTAGTTTTTTTTTTTTTTTTTTTTTTTTTTTTTTTTTTTTTTTTTTTTTTTTTTTTTTTTTNTTTAAATGATGTTATTTTATTTTTGCTAACTAAATAGGAGTTTCTCAAAAGTAATATTTAGTAAGAAATTAAATTGTTTTTATAACCAAAATTCTTAACAGCATAAAATTAAAAAAAAAAAAAACGATTTCAAAAAATTAAAAAAAAATTTCAGTGATAAGAAAAGTTAAAACAAATAAATAAATTTTTAAATAAAAAAAATCATCAATTCCTATTAAAAAAATACTAAACATTTTTTAATTTAAAAAATTGAAGATTTCGCACAAAAATAAATGATTTCTTAATGTTTGTATATTTAAAATAAATAAATAAGAAAGAGTGCATTTTTCAGTATTAAGATATGTGAATTAAATCGTCATCCGCTTTGATCGATGTTTTAATCATTCGGCCATGCATTCAAATTCTTCATATGCATTCAAATTCTTCAATTCTTCTTCTATTTTAATTTTAATAATAAATTAACTAAGACTCTAAGGGGCCTTCTTGACTTAGGGGCCGCAGTTACGGCAACCCTGTTTACCCTATATTTTAGATCAGTGGTCCCCATGCTTTTTCGGCTATGTAACCCTATGGCTAAGTTGAAATTTTATTAATTATGTTGAAAATATTTAATAAATTAATAAAAAATGAACTTTTTTCATTGTATCGTCTTATCAATACTATAATGCCAGACAGTTAAAAAAATTATTAAAATGAAAGAACCAAAGAGCCGTGCTGGCTTAGGGGATAGAGAGCTTGTCCCCTAATGAGATGAGCCCGGTTCGAATCTCAGCGATGGCTGAGCGATTCGAATTCCGCACCCGGCTCGCACCGACCATGGCGCTATCGTTAAATATCCTCAGTGCAGTGGCCACCACCCCAAGCTCTTGGGCGCATTCTTGGGCAAATTCTAAATCCCCCCCCCAAACTATTCGTTTTATTTAGTGTAAAAATTTCCCCCCCCCCAAGCTTTAAGTGGGCGCATCGTACGCCCACCTTCCCCCCTGGTGGGGGCCCCTGCCTCAGTGGTAGACGGATCATGGGTAAGCTAACCGTAGAAGGTTTTCGTGGTTTTTCCTCGCCATGCACCGCAAATGCGTGTTAGTTCCATCAAAAAGTCCTCCACTGAGACAAATTTTCTCCCAATACTTGTTCCGGGAGTTTCCTTGTCTTCTGGATTAGGTTTAAAATTATAAGGCTATGGAGTTGAACATTGGTAATCGCAAGCCCAAATTTGGGTCGGCTGTTCAATGACGGTTATAAAATAAATGAACAAAAAATTAAATCTGTTTTATTTATATTTTTATGTCAAAATATTTTATAGGTCTGGAGCGGCATATAGTTTTCTCATTTGATTTTAGTGTATGTATGAACTAAATGTACATTATCCAAAACGTGGTTTTCATTGAAATAAAGACGAAAAGGAACAAAAATGAACGTAGAGAAGGGCTATAAGAGAGACACTTTTCTTCATAGTCAAATTTGGCTATTTTCATTCAATGCAAACTACTGATGCAATTTTTCATAAATGTGTTCTTTTCATTATTCATTCAATATATTGATATTAGAAATTTTTAATTTTGTTTTTCTTTCTTCACAAACATTTTATTTAAATAATTTCCTAAAAAATAACGAAAATATTAAATAAATAATGAGTAATTAATCGGATATAAATTTAATTACAGGCTTCGAAAATTGGTAAAAAAAAAAGAAGTCTTAGTTTCCTCTCAATACGAATTTTGCAGACGCGATGTATCTTTGTTATTTGTTTTTCTTTAAATACATATATACTTGCCGAATTTCACAAATACTGTTAAATTTTTTTTTCTGAAACAATAAACCTACGTTTTAATACAAAACAAATGAATAAAATTAAAAAGAATAAAAATCAACAAACTTCTCACTGAGTTTTTATTATTTCGAAAATACAAATTTTTTTTCAGAAACATATCACAATTCAATTGCACTCTAGATCTTTGATAATGACTTAGTATATCATTTTGGCACTTTAAACACTGTAATCTTAACAAGGTAATCATTCTGATTGTATAAAATAATTTAAACGTTTACTAATTTCAAGACAAAGTACACAATGTTGAAGGAGTTCACTCTTTGAACATACAATATGTTCTGTAATCACTTTACCTTTAATACATATTTTTTAAATAATTGTTGAAAAAAAAAATGGTGCACATTTCTGGTCGCAAATTAATATTCAATCGTTGAAGGAAAATTTTTTTATCGGAGTCTATCGAATCACTGTGATGATGAACATCAACACCAGTTTGGTTGCTAGGTGAAAAACCACGGCTTTTTCCTAATTCAGATGTTTTTAATCCTGATTTCCTCTATAATTTTTCGTTAGATTTCGATTACGCTTTTGCTTGATTAAACATTAATTTGCGACCTCCAATTCGATTTGTATATTATTTTTTTTTAAATTAATATTTTACAAAGATTATTAAAATATTAAAGGCAATATTTGCGGGATACTCAGTTTTTATTTGTAGAAATTAAATTATACAATTATGCGTAGAAGCATTTTCAACATACAAGTAATGAAAAGCAAAAATAAATACATGCTAGTCTACAATAAATAATGATCCATGTTTCTAAATGATTAAATAAATTTCATCAATTAATAAAAAAAAAATTCTTTTGCTGGCTTTTTAGTTTCTACTGTACTACGCTGGGTGAATTGAGTTGATTGAGAAATATTGATATTTTTTTTAACCATTATGGTAACGATATTTTAAAATAAACTCTCACGATATTTTATATTTACCATGTCTTTTGATAAATATCGAATATACGAAAACAATCAACAGCAATAAATTTCGAATATGATTATATATTGAGAATAATCGATATCGATAATTAAATACGTAATTCGCTTATTGCCAAGTTCATTAATTATCATATACGATAATATAACGAGCAACCTTATTTACTATAATTATCAAATACGATATTATTTAAGTTTTGATAAATTTTATTTGTGTAACGAGAATCTTGACCTAGTTAAAAAAAGTACAAATTATTTAAATTGAAAAATACCGCGATATATATCGGGAAATATCGGTTTTAAAATTGCGATATCGTCGAGCGCTGAAAGAAGTACAATATTCAAAGAATTTTTCACAATCACAAAATGAATCGAAGAATTTATTACAAATGCACGCTATTCTAGTAACTATTATAAGGATCAAGCTCATAGCGTGTTTAAATTACTATATACAAATAATTATGTTTTCTTTAGTTCAAAATGAAAATCAAGTTCTTTTACTAATTTATAAACTATCAAGTGTTCTTTCTACAACATTTCCAGGTTAGTACAAAGTGCACATTCCTGCGAAATTCATAATAATAAGATTAAATAGATTTGGCATTTATTACATTATTAAGTACATAAGGCACAAGGAGAATTAAAAAAAAAAAAAAAAGAAAAATATCTATATACGAACGAAAATTAATCAATCAATTAATATTGAGAAAAAAGAATAATTTCTCTTTGTCATATTGTTTTTTTATAAAAGAAATTTATAGGATAATCATAATTAAGTATACATTCAATAATCATATAAAAATGTAAATCATAATTAATTATATATTGCTTAAACCATGACTAATATGAACTTGTCAAGTTTGAAGTCTATTTATTTTTTAAAATACATTTTTGAATTCAGCCTTTTTTAAAAACATATTTTTCAAATGCCTAAAAATTTTTGCAAATGTAATTAGTTTTGTTTATATATTTTCTGCAGATATTTTTTTCTCCAAATACTTATTAAAATATACTTGAATATATCTTGTTAAATTTTACCATAAATAGTCTACAATGTGATGAAGGTAATCTAAAAATTAAATATGAAAATGTATAAGTTTAACTATATGATTTTTCAGTTTAGATATAAACACTATTTATTATAAATATTTGAGAAGAAAAAAAATTAAACAGTTTTTTAAAGATAATAAGTTTAACATTAAATTGAAGTTAACCATAAGCTAAACATAATAATTTTACATTGTCATAAAAAATCCATACAAATAATAATTTAATATTCAATAATGTCATATGATTAATAATACAATTTTAAAAAATGTCAATATGCAATTATTTTAATTATTTCATCTGGATTAAATAAAAGTACAATTTCATAAAATTCTGAGTTCATCTAAAATGGCAAAGAGAAGCTTTTTCAACGCCTAGAACAAAATATCTCTTTCAAGTTGTCATTAAAACGATGTCTGTACAAAATAATGGAATTTTACAAGGCAGGATTTTTAGAATTCTATGTTTACCTGAAAGAAAAAAAATTAGTTCATTAAACAAAAATTGATCAGTACACAATAAATTTTTACAATAATACAAATAAGAGTAACTCTAAGTTGTCATAAGTATACAATAATACAAATAAAAAATATTAACCATTTAATAAGTTTCAAAAGTGATATTAAATTATATGTCTGTACAAAAAAATGGAATTTTACAAGGTAAATTTTTTTTTTAAATCTATGCTTTCTGAATTTTCTTTGTTAATTAAACAGAATTTGATAAATAAAAAACAAAAGGTTTTATATTATGCAAAAAAGAAATGTTAACCACATGATAAGCAATATGTATAAATGTTAAACACAGTGTATCAAGTTTGGCAAAAATTATTCTATTTAATAAACGCTCTTTGAACAGCCGACCCAATTTTGAGCGTACGATTACTAATGTTCAACTGCGTAAACTTGTAATTTTGAGCCCAATACAGAAGACAAGGGAACTCCTGGATCAAGTATTGGGAGGCATTCGCTTTCGTGGAGAACTTTTAACGGAACTAACCCGCATTTGCATGACATAGAAAGGAAAACCACGAAAACACTTCATTGTTAGCCTGGCGGCCAGGAAATCAATCCATAATCTGTCTACTACTGAAAATATTTTACGTCAGCACTGTGGTCGGTGCGAGCTGGCTGGGAATTCGTATCAATCAGCTATCGCTGGGATTCGAACCTGGTTCCCCTCATTTGAAGACTAACTCTCTATTCTCTGAACTCCCAATGGCTCGGTAACACTCATTCAAAAAAAAAAGTATTATAAACCACTAAAAATGCAAGACTATAATATAAATATAAACGTCCATAGTTTTTCATTTGCTAATTTAATAAAATACAATTTAAATAAAAACTACTCTTTCTAAAAATCATTACAATTTTATTTCAACATTTTTTAAGATTTTACTGTACAACTTCGACGGAGAAATTACGCATACACTTATAATGTGAGACACGTAAGACGAAACGTTGAAGCACTTCACTGAATAAGCTTTATGAGAATGAAGCGTTTCACTGAATAGGAAGACATTTACAAAAATAACATTTTTTGAAAGCTGCTACCGTGGCCGTAATGAGTTTAGAGAGCACTTCATTCATTATCTCTCTCTCACCCTGGGAGAGAACGATCTTCTCAAGCCATGGGGGGTGGTGGCGAGTGGATGATGATCGTCCTTGACTGATATAGGAAACCAGGGCAAAGAGTTCAATGTCATCAAGGGATGCACGTAATAAATGGAGAGTTGTTGATCTATCGTTCGTTGATTAGCTTTACTTTAGTACGGTCCACTAGCATCGTTAAATTTTAATGATCAGCTCATTAGCTGTCGCCTTGAATAAATATCTGAGATACAATTAACTATTAATTTTAATATCGTTTAAATCTATTAAATTCAATGATTGGTTATTAGCTGTCGCTTCGTGCAAATTATTCCATACAATTTTAATTTTTTATTGCTTGTAATATCGTATAAATCTATTAAATTCAATGATTGGTTATTAGCTGTCGCTTCGTGCAAATTATTCAATACAATTCTTTATTGCTTGTAATATCGTATAAATCTATTAAATTCAATGATTGGTTATTAGCTGTCGCTTCATACAAATTATTCAATACGATTCTTTATTGTTTGCAATATCGAATAAATCTATTGCATTCAATGATTGGTTATTAACTGTCGCTTCGTAAAAATTATTCAATACAATTCTTTATTGCTTCAAATATCGAATAAATCTATTAAATTCAATGATTGGTTATTAGCTGTCACTTCGTACAAATTATTCAATACAATTCTTTATTGCTTGCAATATCGAATAAATCTATTACATTCAATAATTGGTCATTAGATTAGCTGTCGCTTCGTGCAAATTATTCAATACAATTCTTTATTGCTTGAAATATCGAATAAATCTATTAAATTCAATGATTGGTTATTAGCTGTCGCTTCGTACAAATTATTCAATACAATTCTTTATTGCTTGAAATATCGTATAAATCTATTAAATTCAATGATTGGTTATTAGCTGTCGCTTCGTTCAAATTATTCAATACAATTCTTTATGGCTTGCAATATCGAATAAATCTATTACATTCAATGATTGGTTATTAGCTGTCGCTTCGTGCAAATTATTCAGTACAATTCTTTATTGCTTTTAATACTGAATAAATCTATCAAATTCAATGATTAGTTTTGCATAAATCTATTAAATTCAATGATTGATTACTAGTTGTAATCTTGTATAAATCTATTAAATTCAATGATTAGCTGTTACTTCGCATAAATTATTAGATACGATAAATTATTGCTTGTAATGTCGTATAAATCTATTAAATTCAGTGATTAGTTATTAGCTGTAATCTTGTATAATTCTATTAAATTCAATGATTAGCTGTCATTTCGAATAAATTATTAGATACGATTAATTATTACTTGTAATGCCGTATAAATCTATTAAATTCAGTGATTAGTTATTAGCCGTAATCTCGTATAAACATTCAATGATTAGTTATTAGCTGTAATCTTGCATAAATCTATCTAATTCAGTGATAAACTATTGGCTGTAATATCTTATAACTATAATTCCCCACAATCTCTCGTTATTACCCATAATCTCTCATAAATCGATTGGATTCATTGATTGATTATTACCGTAATCTATAGCACTTAGCTATAATCTCCTATTAGTTTATTAGATTCAATGATTAGATCTTAGCTGCAATATCTTATAAATCCAAGGAAATTAAAATTTGCACGTAATGAATTACCATGTTATCACTGTTCTTTTTTGAGAGATAGTAAATCAAGCTATTGGATCCTAGATAAAATTCATGAACATCCGTAACAAAATTACTCAATATAGACTTTCTCATTTCATTATGATTAAGTGTTATAACGAATACCACATATATATATATTACAAATATATGCATTGCATCTAGAAAACTTTCATTACACATATAATTTGGAGAAGTTAAGTCATTAAATCAAATTTATAGGAAATATAAGTTTATCATGAAATCAAATAAATATTATAAACGTAATTTTAAATAATACCCATGCTCAATATAAATCGTATTAGTTACATTTTTTGCTTAAAGTAAATTAGAAAAATTAAAGGATTTAGTGTGCTTTGAGATCAGGAAGATTTTCTTTTGAGTTGACATAGCATTTAAAGTTCTCGAAAGCTTATTTCAGTTATACTCGAGTTAATGCAAAATGATATCTTTTTTAATTTTAAATAAGCAGGAGTCTCAATATTTTTGTAAAAATTTAACTTTTTTTCCTAAAAAAACTGAATAATGTAGGGTGAAAAATTTTTTTTAACGTGAATTTGTCCAGATAATTTTTAAAATCTACCTCATTCGATAAAATTAATTATCTAAAATGATTAAATTATTTTTATTTAATTTCGAAAAAGCGGAAAAAACTATTACGCTACTTTTACTTCCATACTATCCTGGCTGCAAAAACCTTATAACTTTCTAGACTCCTTTATACATGTGTCAATTTATACTTTTTTTGCAACGTGTGATCATTATGATTTATTATTATTACTAAGAGAAAAAAAAACTAAATACATATCGATTTATGTTAAATTTGCATTGAATATTTTAAGTGCATCAAACGCATGATTTTAAGGATTTCTACTAATAGAAGTCACTTAACATAAGACATAAGGCAGAAATAAATTGTTACAAAAAAGTAACTTACTTTTTTAGGAGGGGTGTCTTTGAGATGCCCATGCATTTTGCATCCTTCTGAAAAGGAATTCTCGGGACAGGAGTTCATGGGTCAGGTAGGTAGATGAAGTCCATGACTCAGGCACATCTCCGCTCATCAGTTCCAAACCATGGCTGAGGACATGATTGAGAAACTGAATATAGTCCATGGCAAACCTCAGAGTCTGAATCTTTGAAAGTTTGTCTGAAGGCAATGAAGGAACTTTACGGCGGAGATCAGAAAAAAAGGAATTCAACTGCTGCGTCCTCTGCCTCTCTCTGTTATTAGCCTGGGCTCTCTGAACCTGTGGATCTCCTGATGAGCTGCTGCTGTAATAAAACAAATTTTAAAGTATATATTCGTGTAAAAAATTAAAACAAATTTTGAAGTATATATTTGTGTAAAAAATTACGTATGTTACTGACAATACAGTTGGGTATTGAATCAATAAATCGAATTCTAATTATCAAAATGATTCGAACAATTCTTTTGACACTGATTTGAATCAGTAAGTTTGTTATGACTAGTTCATTGATTCGAATAAACTACGTAGATTCGTTTTTGCATTGGTTGAATCAGTGATTAAGAAACGTTCGACTAAATAAAATTCGTTGGCGAATTTTACACTGAACTGGCTACTGAACTATGAATCAGCAGATCTCCAGATGAGCTGCTGCTGTAATAAAACGATAACAAACAAATTTTAAGATATATATTCATATAAAAATGCATTGCGATACTGGTAATAGAGTTGGGTATTGAATCAATGAATCGAATTCTAATTATCAAAACGATTCGCTGATTCGAACGATTCTTACAACACTGATTTGAATCAGTAGGTTTAAACTAGTGGCTGAGTTGATTCGAATCAGTTCTCAAGTTTATTATTATTAGTTTGTTGATTCCAAATTAACTATGTAGATTCGTTTTTGCATTGGTTGAATCAGTGATTAATAACAAACGCTAATCTACATAAAATTCGTTGGCGAATTTTGACTGTGATCTGGATTACAAATACGTCAATTTAGTACCTACATCTGCTGGTTTGAATAAATTCATTGGAAAAATCATAAGAATCAGCTAAACGAATCAGTTACTATTGATTTAAATTACTTGAATTATTCGAATTCAATAAACAAATTTTTAGTTTGTAAATAAATAATTTCAGAATTAATTCTGAAACAGATCTATTAAAAATAATTACAGGACTTCTGCTAATCGCCGATAAATAATTTCAGGATTATACAACAATAGATAGATAATTTCAGATTCATTTAAATAATTTCAGATTCATATAAATAATTTCTGGATTTACGCATGATTGTATACTACTATATTATCTTAATTGTTTACATTTAAAACTAATCAAAAGTTACTCTCGCACTGTTTATCCTACATCATAACTGGAATAAACTAAACAATCTTTAATTTAAAACACATTATTTTGATTACGATAGATACAGGTAAATTGAATTAAACTACACTTTACTAGATTTATCTAAAAGTGAGTCAAACCCCCACAAGGAGCAATGGTTTTTTTCCCTCTAAGGTTTTGGTTGGCGGCTGGTTGGTAGCAACGACAATCATAAAATATCTAATAAACTTCACTGGTGAACAATTTTCTTGTCGCATTTATACAAGTATTTAATCTTACTTACAGTTTTGTTCGAAACGCTACAGATATTTTTTCAAAATGAAATTTTTAGTTTAGTTTTTGTCTGAATGCGCAGGTAAAAATAACGTATAAGTTTATATACATATATTTGTACTTATCTGATCCTTTACAAATAACACTTAAGAAAAAATCGCATGTCCTCAACGTATCGCATCATAAAGTAAAATATATTATCACCGTCTTCTTACCGCTCCCTACGTAGCAGAGAAGTGGGGATAATTAGTATTCACTCGTGTAAATTTAAAAAAAAATCCTGGTTAGGAATATATTATTGAATTGCATAACAAACTGTAACTTGCAGAGAGAAAAAGAATGAAAAGAATCTTTGTTTTGTAAGAAATTATCTAAATCTCTAAAACTGGTTTATTTGTTTATTTTTGAAATCAAAAGATACGGTAACATTTTACGATACTGTCAATATCCATACCCATTATCTAAATAGTACAGTCATTATTTTATTTGTTTGGATTAAGCAGTAAATTCATTAGTTTAGTAATATTTACTTTTATGTAAACCGTCTTCGAATTAAACAAAAACTAAATTAAATTAAAAAAATCAGAAAAATGTTTTAAATTTAAATATTTGCTTAGCTTCCATAAAACTTAAAATGTATCATGTTAATCTTAAAAACAATCAAACGGTAACTGAATTTAATCTGGATATAAATTAATATATTTGCTAATTCGAGCCGCTTTTGTTTCCTTTCTCCTATATTTCTCTCTTACTTTTTCAAGTATAGAATGTTAATAATCGAATGCTTTCATAGATTGTTAATAAAAAGATGCATTAATATCCAATAAATATTTGGAAATTATGCAAAATAATTGTGCAGTTAAACTAACGTACCAAACTCACGGAGATAAGCAATGATAATAACTATGAATACGACAACTAAAGCACAATACCTTGTTATTAATTAACCATTTTCCAAAACAAACAAACACATGGGATATGTCAGGAGGGAAATATGTAAAAATAAGTTACCATCTCCATGTAAATAAATGTCAATTGGTTATGTTACTAATTATAATGTAATTTATTCTAATTAGTAAATAATCCTAATGCAATAGTTGGAATAAAATGATATAAATTTATAGTCTAGTGTTTTTTACGATAAAGCTATTTCTCTTAACGATATTGTAAACTCATTAAAATAAAAGAGTAAATAAAGCACACAATTAGTTAAGCTTTAAAAATAACACAGATAGCTCACATGAAAAATGGATTGATTTCACAAAACTGATTACAATAATAAAAATCTACACACTTAATGGTTTATTCTCAAGCATCGATTGCTTATAAATTAAAATTTTTTAATCAAAATATTTATAAAATTTCACATAAGTCGTTTAACATTTTATAGCAAGTTTGAGTAATTTGTTCTAATTTCCTTACAAAATTTATCACACTGATTAAAGTCATCATGAAATATTATTCAGATTATTAAAAATTAATTTTAAAATAAAGAGAGAGAAAAAAATTTTTTTTGCGATGAGAAGAACAACAAGAGAGAGAAAAAAATCGTTTTGATAATAAACGAATTAATATCAAACGAGAAAGAAAAAAAAAAGTTACCTTGAATCAGGAGATATTTTTTTCCTGAATCGATCATACGGATGAGGCCTTCTACTTCTAGTTTGATTAATCGCGATGTGAAAAGGATTCGATCTGGGAAATTGATTCAAAAAATCGTTTGGCACTGACATATGATAACCAACAGTCTTACGGTTCTGAAGTGTAAGATCTGAACACGTTTTTTGCACAGTCTGATTCATAACGCGAATACTAAGATCTTGAGGTTGATGCACAAACATGCTGGAATCGAGATTGGGCAATCGATGATGGTGAATGAAGGAATCGCGATTTTCCGGTGATTGCAAATCCTCACCACATGGAAGTATGCCCATGTCACTTTCAAAAGAATCAGAGGATAGCGCGAAATCGTCTCTCGAATCCAGCTCTTTGGAAAGATTATCCAGCTTGACGGGGATAGAGATTTGTGGGAAGAGGAACTGACACTGTTCGCGGTTGTAAATGGACTACAGTATACAGTGGATGGGTAGGATAAGATATCTATGAATGAACGTTGGTTCATACTACGATGGGACGAGGGGGCTTTTGATTGGACGTTGAAGACGAAATCGTGAAAGGAGAGGAGGTTACTACTTCTTTCTTAAAAACAAGTCTGAAGCAAAGCTTACGCATTTAAAATTAACATTAAAAAAAATCAGTAATACGAATGATTAAATGTGTGATATGTTGAACTAAATTTAATCCTTCAGCATTTTTTACCAACATCGCTGAATTATTCTTTTTTAATAACTATCTAACAATCAAATAAAAGACAACTTACTAGCAAACGATCTTGTTATGATAACCTCGTTCAAACGTCGTTTGAATTAAAATAAATTTAAAATTCGATTTTTACAGTGGGTTTTCAGTCTTTTGGAAAATAAAATGTTATACGCAAACACAGTTTTGCTTATTAGTTCATAAGGGTTAGGTGGTTAGTAACAAAATACAAGTAGTTAATGGTTCCTATTTTCATAAAAATTTTATTACGAGTGTGATGAATCAAGCTACATTAAAGAAATAGTTCTTTTTTATAAAAAACATTTATTTGACAAGCACACATAAACTAAACTAAATTTAATTAAAGTACTCGTAATGGGTTAGTAATAGTTTGGCAAAATAAATGGAAGAACCCGTAACGGGCTAGTATGAAACTTAAATTCAAAACAAAACCTATTCTCACCAAAAATCAACAACTCTCCGTTGTTCCATAAATTGTCTCCTAATTTTATTTTTAATTAATCTCGTTATATGCTTTTTTTAATTCATGCTTTTGTTAGCCAGATGTTTACTTTTTTAGATATTATTAAACTTTATACGAGTATGCACAAAAAATTCAGAGATCAAAATATTAGTTTATTAACTACTTATTTAAATTTTCTATTTTCAAGAATTTTAAATTAAAAAAAAAATTGAAGAAAAAAAAATTCTTAAGATTTGTTATATGAAGTATACTTGTAATTGAATTGTGATAAATTTTTTAAAATTTTTAATTATAACTAGCAGTTTCAAATGAAAGAAGAACTTATTTCTTTTATAAGAAATAAATCAATATAGTATGTAGTGTATAAGATATTCTATCAGACGATTAAGAGTGGAATATTAATTATTTCAATATTTAGTTTTGTCAATTTCTTGTAATAGGCAATTAAAATTTAGATACATATAATTGTTTCACTATTTTTGTTAATTTCTGAAAATATACTATGCAGATAATACTAGACAATTAAAATTCAGATACATTTAGATGTTTCAATGCAATTATTTTTTCCACTAAAAGAAAATATACTATGAAGGAAACACTAGAAAAATATTAAAAGTTTCAACATTTAGCTTTGTCGATTCAGAAAATATATTATTGGGATAGTACTAGGCAGTACTAACATTCAGAGTCTCTGGAGTCATGGACTTGGTTTAGCTCCGCTAACCGTGTGGGCCAGCAACAACAGTACTAACATTTATGCATATTTAATTGTTCTGATATTTAGTTTTCTCTACTTCAGAAAATAGACTATGGAAATAATTCTGACAGTTAAAATCTAAAAGTACTGAGTTGTTTCAATATTTAACTTTATACATTTCTAAAAATATACTATGAGAATTATAGTAGGCAATTACAATTCAAAAAAAATCAAAATAAATGCTTCTTATTCATTACTAAAATTTACTTTTTAAATTAAGTATCTGAAAATAATTTGAAAGAATTTTTTTCTTTAAAATGCTGAAAGGTTCAAAACTGTATTACAGATTTCTTAAAGTTCAAGAAGGAAAAAAAAATTAAAAACAAAATAATCAGTTACCTGTTAAAGCATTTTAAATTAAAAGAAAATTTCTTACCTGCTGGACTCGGAACGCTTCCTTTTTCTCGGTCGGATATATTTTTTCTCTCCGGTCTCTTTGAACTTTTCCTGGGATTCTGGATTCGTCTTAACGTAATTATCAGTTTCAGACTCTCTGGGTAGAATCAATGGATTCGTCTTAGCATAATTAACCGTCTCAGACACTCTGGGAAGATTAAATGGATTCGTTTTAAGGTAGTTATCCGTCTCAGACTCTCTGGGAAGATTCAGTGGATTCGTCCTAACGTAATTATCCATCTCAGATGCTCTGGGAAGATTAAATTGATTCGTTTTAACGTAATTATCCGTCTCAAACGCTCTGGGAAGATTAAATTGATTCGTCTTAACGTAATTCTCCGTCTTAGAAGAGCTGGGGAGATTAAATACTAAGTTCCAGTCAATTTCCGAAGTCATTGCTTGATAAATAAAATAACAACAGAAGATAACAAGTACGTTTACTAGTACGTTACTGTTGTACTTTGCTACAAGTATAACTTTTGCAACTACAAATGAAAAGTAGCTAAGTTTTCTTTACTATTCATATTTCTTTCAAGTCTATTCAAAAAAGTATGGACCAATAAGAAGTCAATTCTTGGTTACCTGGACCACCTTTGAATAAAAGATTGCATACCCTTTAACCCCACCCCCAAAATAGAGTATCTACCCCTTGGTTCCTAGTTCCGGTTTCTTATCAGTAACGTATGAACTTTTTTAGGTCTGAGTTTAAAACATTAAATTTTGTTTTTTTCTAAATAAAAGTTTATTTTTAAAAAAATTATAATAAATATAAATTTTTAAAAAGTTTAAAATAAATTGGTGATAATATTTTAATTGCATTATAATCAGATAATTGGGAGAAACTTGGATTAAGAGACAAGACAATAAAAACTAAAGAAACATTGAAGAATAAATTTTTAAAAGCAGTATTGATAGTAAAAAAAAGCTTTTCTGAAAAAGTAANAAATCTAGAACCAATATTCTTGTTCCTCAACAGATAACCATTTTTTTCCTTATTCAAGACCATTTTTTTTTTTTTTTTTTGAAGAAGAAGAAGAAAATATGAGATACGATTAAAATATTAATTTTTTCCATTGTCAGACTATTAACCTTGTTTTTTAATAAAAAAATTAGTAATTAAATCTCATGTTTAAATTTATTAATGTCTTAGAATTATCTTATTTAATTTTGACCTTAAAATTTCAAATGAAAAATAATTCGAACTCAGACTAAGTGTTAAAGTAAACTTTACAAAAAAACAATGGATAATGAGAATATTTGACCGTGTTTAAACTAATTACTGTTCAGTGTTTACTCCTAATTGTTTGGAATCTAATATATAATGTCAATAAACAATTATAATATTTAAAACCGTAATAGTATCTAGAAGTTAAGTTTTGTTATATAAATTACAAAAATTCCAAACAATGCTATTTACAATTAAGTTGTTTATTTCCTTTTCTTTTATTTCCTGATCAAACCAAACATTTAGCGTTTATTTTTGCTATCATAAAGTAAAAGAAAAAAGGCTATTGATTATAATCTTCAAAACAAGTAAAATCGTAGCAAAAACGGAAAACTCAATTTTTTTCCTATCTATCATTTTCCATACTTTTTTTACAGCTTTTTTTTAAATTTTAGTATTTTCTTTGTTTTCCTTTACAGCTTTAGTAATTTCTAATGCAGATCAGAAAACAAACTTCAAAATCTAGCACAAATTCCAGCTTCAAAACCTAGCAGGATCAAGTAAATCCGTGTAACACTGTCCATCGAGAAACTGCTAACATTGTTTCAAATACTGTCCAGAAAGAGCTGGAAGGATTGAGATTCGAACCTAAAAGATTGCATGCAAAAAATCAGCGCAGAAAAATCAGCGATTCCATTATCAGCGCCGAAAACCCAAATCTCTTATCAACATCATAATGTTTTATGCTCAATAATACTAGTTGCAAAATGCAGCGTTTTAAATTTTGTGGAAAAATTTCTGCAAGAACTAAAGTGCTGTTCGAAATTCACAATAAACAATGATTTCAATTTTTTGTTCTTATTTATTCATTTATTTATTTATTTATTATTATTATTACAATTATTTTTTTTTATGAAAGCTATCAAACATGCTATTGAAGACTTGCAACTAATTGAAAATGAATGAAGATAATGCATATGTAGCGTAAATCTAAGGATAAAACTAAAACATATACTTTAACATTAAAATTTTTTATCATTATTTAAAAAAATTTTTTAAAATTTTATTTAGCTATTAAAGAATGTACATTTTACTGCCTATGCTTGTAACTTTGCCGAGATTGACCATTTTTTACCTTATCAGTTAGGTACGCAGGAAATTGTTCAGAAGTAAAAACAAAAACATATGGTTTTGATCAAGAAAATGCAACAATCCTGACTCTTCTGCAAATTTCTATGGAAAGGTAAGACCATGCTTGAAAAGCATCACATATACCGATTATCAATGGATGCATCGACATGACAATCCATCACTGTTAATTGAATCCGGTTTCATTCACATTCGGTTTGCAATAGGGGTTGATAAATTGGCTCTTCCCGGATCTGAAATCACAAAGAGTAAAAAGTGAGACACAATAAGCCTGTTAGAAAGTTAGTATAGTTAATCTGGGAGTCAGTTATACCTGTTCAACAGTTGTCCATTAAATCGAGGGATGAGTTGCATCGAAATCCTAATCTTGTTTGAGCATTAAATAATAATGGAAATATTATAAAACATTAAAATAATCCTAGAAAAAGATAGGAAAAAAATAAAGCAAAAATTTAAAAATATGACAGCATTTGAAGATATGAATTTTTGAAAATTATTTCCTATTATAGTTTCAAGAAATAGAGCAAACAGATTGATGAAAAATTAACATAAATATCATTTTCAGTGGTTTAAGAAAATAAGGAAACAAGAACCCACTAATAAATGGTACTTTAAGACGAAGGACATACATCATATCAGGAAGAAGAAAAAAAAACGCTAATCTTTTAAACTTGCGAAGAGTTGTAAGTTCTTCCTTGCCACTTCTGAAGTTTGAAGGTAAATATCAAGCAAATTTAAGACGTACTTATTTTCTAACACCATCTTTTTTAAATAGCTATTTAAA